AAAAAAAAAAAAACAAACATTAAACAATTTCAAACAAAAATCTCTGCCCCTCTCCCCTGCTCGTGCTCTAAAAGTCTTTTGATAAATAAAGAGGCAAATGAGAGCCTTACGAAGAGATGGTGATTTTCGTCTCGGTGTCCTGCTCCACTTTCTTCAGGTTGCGCCCTTCCTTGCCAATAAGCCGCCCCACAAAGTTATTATGGGCCAGGATCTTCAGGGGAACCTCGTCGGCCCTTGGGAAGAAGTGAGGGGTAAGAGTTCCTTAAATGGCAGGCCACGCTCAGACTCGATCATCCTGCCACCACAGACGTGGGGTTTCCAGGACAAAGCACGCGACAGAGTTACATTCTAAAAGATGCGAGAACCAGCACAGCGGTGGCTGCTGAGGGCTACGGAAATGTGGGAGTGGGGCAGGGCTGCCAAGGGGAAGAAGGACAACCAGAGCGACGGCTATGCTCGTTACAGAAGTGGGGCGATGGCTCCGCAGGTGTATGCCTGTTAAACTCATCCAACCGTATACCGGGTCATCACGGACTACCGAATTCCAGGCAATTAAAAAAGAAAAAAAAAAAGAATGAGGTGGGTCTAGGATTACTGATCCACGTTAAGTGCAACAGCCAACTGTAGAACACGTTCGTCAGGGCCCTATTTGTGCTACAACGTACGTGTGCACACATACACCTGTGCACAGCAGGTCGATGTACAAACACCCGTGAGTTCACGGTATCGCTAAGAGGATACATACAGGGTGTTCCTTGTGGGAAAGAGAACCTCGTTTCCCAGTTTACGTCTTATTTATCGCCATTCTTGCTAACAGTTCATAGTTGGGGTGGGGGAAGTGGCAATCCTCCCGTTACAAGACACGCTGGGCGAAAGCCTTACGTTTTGGTGTCCTTCGCTTCCTTATGCATAATCTCCAAGATCATCTTACACGCAGAGGAGCAGCCCTCGGGGGTTGAGTGGACACTGATGGCCTTCTCCGCAGCGCCTGCATTCTCCTTCCTGTGCACGTCGATCCTGAGGACCACAAGGTCAAAGACGGTTAGGCGTCCCTGGTGAAACCCGGGGCCGTCTTCGCACTCCCGGCCACCTTTCCTCAACCGAAGGTACAGAAGGGGCCCTTGGAACACGTCCAAGTGAAGAATGGGAGGGGCAGAGAAAGGGCCAGGGAAACCCGGCCAGCCTGCCGCTCCGGATCGTGTCTCAACCAAGAGGGGGGGAGGGACAACGGTGGCGTCTGGGGCGGGAACACGGGGTTGGCGGACGTCAGCCCACAGCTCTAAAGCTGTACTTCTCCCTTAAATTCTGGATCCCGCCCCGCGTACAACTATAAAGGGAAGGCGCGCTGTCCCAAATTAAAAGTAAATACTAAAGGATGCCTTCGCGATAAGGACACGACGTGACCCGTTCTTTTCCAGAGTACGCTGATCAGCCATAAAGATTAGAGAAGAGGGGTCAACTATACGCGTCTGGGAAAAAAAAATTTTTATAAAAGGGATTAGAGGAGCAGCCGCGGTGGATGGGCGATGGGGCAGGATCATGACCTGTTACTGAGGGCCGACTTTGGCCAGGCTGTCCAGCCCTCCGGCCACCAACAGGCAGTACTGAAACCACAGAACACCAAGGAGGGGCTGACTCACAAAGACTAGGTTTGCCCGAGGAGACTTTCCTACAAGAAATTACAGAACCCCTCTAAGGTCTGTGGGGCCCAGACGCTGCCACCAAATGGCCTGTCCCAGGCCTTTTCAACCCCCACCCCCCCACCCCTACCGGCCCCTGCCTTCCCAGGAGGCCGTGACTGGAAGCAGCGACCCCCGAACGAACACAGAGAAAAGGGAACGCGTTCCAGGCGACATTTCCTAAG